AGTCACAGGGTTGGGCCTTCCTGGTGTCCAGCATACACATCTCTTGAATGTGCTCATTCTTCCTGAATAGTTTTGACAATCTGTCCCTTGACAGGGTCCTCGGGGGCATCACCGCTTCCTGGGTGCTCCCTGAGGTGTCCTGTGTGCCTCGAGCTGGGCAGACCCTGGGCCCCCTCCATCTGGCGTGTGCTGGGATCTGACTGGCATCTCTCCCTGCAGGCCTACAACATCCACGTGAACGGGGTGTTGCACTGCCGGGTGCGCTACAGCCAGCTCCTGGGGCTGCACGAGCAGGTAGGGAGGGTGGGGGGAGCTGCGCTGCCCACTCCTGCTCTGTGACATCCCGACTGAGTTCTTGCACACTGCAGGTTGCCCACGTGGCTAAGGGATGCTGGTGAGCTCTCTGCTCCCCTTGCTGGGTCCCTGGGAGTCAGCTGTGGTGGGGGCTCGGGGGCCACCACGTCCAGGGAGGTTCTCGCAGAACTCTGCTCTTTTCCCAGTTAAGGAAGGAGTATGGTGCCAACGTGGTCCCAGCCTTTCCCCCAAAGAAGATCTTCACGCTCACCCCGGCAGAGGTAGAGCAGCGACGGGAGCAGCTGGAGAAGTACATGCAGGCTGGTAAGCTGGCCTGCCTGCCCCAGCCCAGTCGTGCAGGGCACTGAGGCACTGCCCATGGCTTCCTCCTGAACTGCTCCATTCTCCAGGGCCCATCTTGGCACTCCCGGTGTCACGCTGGCATTAGCTGGGCTTGTCCTCTGGATGCCAGCTGCTGTCCCAGCCCCTGCCCTGCGCAGGCAGAGCGGGGCCCTGCAGGGGTTCCCTGGCTGCCCCAGCACAGTCTGGGGGCAAACCGAGGAGTGCAGAGGGGCTGGGCACTGGTGTGGGTCCCTGTCCCTTCTCAGGGACTCCTGATTCCTCGCTCCCCTTCCCGCAGTGCGGCAGGACCCGATGCTGGGAGGCAGCGAGACCTTCAACAGCTTCCTGCGCAAGGCCCAGCAGGTGAGGGTGGGGCCAGGGCAGGGGCCCTCAGGCTGCACCCAGGGGCCGGGGTGCCAGTCCTGCTTCTCTCTCCAGGAGACGCAGCAGATCCCTACGGAGGAGGTGGTGCTGGAAGTGCTGCTCTCCAATGGGCAGAAGGTCAAGGTCACCATCCTCACCTCGGACCAGACGGAGGACGTCCTTGAGGTGCCAGAGCTCTCATGCTGGGTGTGACCAGCTCCTCCTGCTGCATTCTGTGGTTTCCCACATGTGTGGGGTTCTCGCAGCCCAGCAGCCCCCCCCGGCCCTCCTTGCCACATCCCCACCCCAGAGCAGGGTTGACTTGGTGGGACTGAAGAGCTAGGAGCTGGAAAGGGTGTGCTGATGGGCGTGTCTGGGGCCACATTGATGTCGAGGGGGCCCCCAGCTGTTTCCTGGTGGCAGTGACACCCCATGCCTGGCCTCAGGGCAGCAGAGGTGCTGGCTTCCTGCTGTTGAGAGGCCCCAGAAAGCACATGGGCTGGGTCCTACTGCAGGGTCAGGATGCAGGAGTGCCACCTCTCTCGGGAAGTGGTGACCTCCTGCTCTCACTCCCAGGCTGTAGCCTCCAAGCTGGATCTGCCAGATGACCTGGTTGGCTACTTCAGCCTCTTCCTAGTGAGAGAGACCAAGGACGGAGCTTTCTCCTGTGAGTAGGAGCCCACTGCAGTGGACATCTGCCCTGTACCCTGCCCGGAGTGAGGGCTGTGTGCTTGGACCCTGCCCTGGATGGGAGGCCCAGCAGGTACCCCAGGCACCCTGGCTGAGGGGTCTGGGGGACACTGCTGCCCCGAGCCGCTGCTGACCTGGTGTTTCCCCACAGTCGTGCGGAAGCTGCAGGAGTTTGAGCTGCCGTACGTGTCGGTCACCAGTCTGCACAACCCCGAGTTCCGGATCATCCTGCGCAAGAGGTGAGTGGGGGGCAGCAGTGGGGTGCTGTCTGAGGCTCCCTGTTCAGCAGAGGGACCCTGCTCTCCTGCCACTGCTGCCCACGTGGGCTTTGGCCTCCAGGAACACACCTGGCCATGACACCGGGGCATGGGCTGCCCTGCTTGGCTCAGCCCATCCCATGGCATCCTGTTTACAGGGGGAGCAGGGCACAGTGACCAACGGTTACCGGAGAGCTGGCCAGAGAGTCAGCCTGGTGCCTCATCCCACAGGAGGATGATTTTCTCCCCATCGCTGTTAGGAGCTGGGGAATAGGTTGACCCATGTGGTTCTCTTCCAGCTACTGGGACTCGGCCTATGATGACGATGTGATGGAGCATCGTGTGGGGTTGAACTTGCTGTATGCGCAGGTGAGGGTCGGTGTGGCCCAGCCAGGTGAGGAGGGGCACTGCACCCCTCAGCCACGGCTGTGTGTGGGCTCGGGTGGCTCTGAGCCCAGCTGCTCACCAGCCTCTGCTGCTTGGTAGACGGTGTCGGACATCGAGCACGGATGGATCGTGGTCAACAAGGAACAGCACCGGCAGCTGAAGTCCTTGCAGGAAAAAGTCTCCAAGAAGGAGGTAGGGGAGGGTGTGATGCCATGACTGGGGCAGTCCAGGTGCTGCACCAGCCCTGCTCCTGTGTGGTGCCGGGTCGGTCACCTGTTCCTGGCCTGGGTGGGCGGCTGGCGGTGCTGAGCATCCCTGGATCTGCCCGCAGTTCATCCGCCTGGCGCAGACCCTCAAGTACTACGGCTATCTCAAGTTTGACCCCTGCGTCACCGACTTCCCAGAGAAGGGCTGCCACGTCGTCGTCAGCGCTGGCAACAACGAGCTCAACTTCCAGGTGCGGCTGCCGAACGAGCAGATCAAGGAGGGCAGCTTCAAGGTCACGCGCATGCGGTGCTGGCGGGTCACATCCTCGGTGAGTGATGTCTGGGGAGCAGGGAGGGCTCCGGGGAGGCTGGAGGGACCTGGCTGTGCCACCTCTCCCCAGGAAAGGTGCTGGCTCTGACGCTGGCTTCCAGCCCAGCAGGCCTGGGGAGGGTCTGAGTTGTGCCTTGGGGGATCGTTGGTGTGAGAACGTTCAAGGGGCGAGGGGAGCTGATGGTGGCAGAAGGCTGGTGGGCACTGCGCAAGTGTCCCACACCTGACTGAGCACTGCCCTCGGTCTGCACTGGGGCCTGGGGAGCTGCCACTTCCCCTCTGGAGGCTCCCAGCCTCAGTGTGTGCCCTTGCAGGTGCCAATGAGCAACGGCCCCTCAGGGAGCAGCCCGGGGAAGTCCGAGGTGAAGCTGGAGTTGGCTTTTGAGTACCTGATGAGCAAGGACCGGTTGCAGTGGGTCACCATCACCAGCCCACAGGTAGGGCTGCCTGCATGCTGGTCTGGCAGTGGCTGTGGGGAAAAGGGTCAGTCTGGGCCTGGTGTGGATGTGGGAAGCGTGTGGTGTGTGGAGCCCCGTGACACCTCTCCCTTGCAGGCCATCATGCTGAGCATCTGCCTGCAGTCCATGGTGGATGAGCTAATGGTGAAAAAGTCTGGAGGCAGCATCCGCAAGGTGAGAGTTGGGGCTGGATGGTGTCTCCGGGGTGGGATCCTAACCTGCCCCTGTGACTTCTTGGGGTCTGGGCTGGGCCCTGAGTGCTCCCCTCAGGATGGGGCTGGCAGATCCCCAGGGCCAATTTTAAGCCCCGGAGCTGCCTCCGGGGACCCTGCGGCTGAGCCGAGCTCCTCCCTGCAGATGTTTCGGCGGCGGGTGAACGGGGCCCTGCGGCGCTCGGACAGCCAGCAAGCTGTGAAGTCGCCCCCTCTGCTGGTGAGTGGGGCCCTGCGGGCCTGGGCGGGGCACGTTCACAACCATGGGCTCTGCCGTGCATTGGGTAAGAGAGTCCACTGCCCCTAAAAAAGCCACTGTCCCCTTGGCAGGGCTGGGGCAAGCCCAGGGGACAGCAGGGCTGTGGTGCCCCGCTCTCAGATGACTGGGAAGGGAAAGAGGTCCTGGACCCACATCGGCGAGCCTGACTCCCTGGGGGAGGGAAGGACAGAGGGTGGCCTGGCCTCATCCCAGGAGGGTGGGTGGTGGGATGGGTGGATGTTGTGTCCCACAACCCCGAGCTCCTGACTGTCGTGTCCCAACAGGACTCACCCGACGCCTCCCGGGAGCCCATGGCCAAACTCTCGGTGAGTCGTGTGTGGGTGCTGGTGCCCTCAGGCTGAGCAGGGAGGGGAGTTAGGAGGGTCCTCTGTAACATCTCCCCTCTCCACAGAGCAAGCTCACCTCTGTCAGCCTGCGTGGGATCAGCCACTCCAGCTCTGCTAACGACGTGGGTGCTAACGACTTCCACGGCAATTACGCCTTTGAGGGCATTGGCGATGAGGATCTGTAGTGCCCCCCTTCCCAGGACAGTCCCGGCCCGAGTGAGGGCCTTTGCTGAGGAATGTACGACCTGCAGCCAGGTTGCAATCAACGTGCCTCTCACCTGCTACATCCACTTTCCCCTGCTCCCTGGGGCTGGGAGCTCACCCCCAGCCCGCCGTTGCCTTCGGGGTGGGGGCAGCTGAACTCCTCCCACTGCTGGCTCCAGCTGGGAGACCCGAGCAGCGCACCTGGGCCGAGCCCTGGAGCAGTGGCGTGGGGCCTGGCTCAGCACAGGGGGTAGAGCTGCCCCTTCCCCAGCCGGGAGGGCCTGGCCCAGCCTGGGGGCAGCTGCTCTGGGCGGCCCCGGGCAGGCTCCATAATGCCAAATTAGTGTTTAGGTTTGTGCTCCGAGACAGAGTGCAGTAAGCTGTCTCAGGGGGCTCCGTGCTGAGCCCCCTCTAACCCGCTCATAGATGCCAGTGTAATCTAGGCTTGTAACCACGTATCTCCTGCTGCTCAGCCCGACAGAGCATTAATGGACAGTAACTGATGTTTACACACTGCAACAATGATTAAAATGGATCCTGATTGGTACTGGGCTGTTTGTTGTGGGGTGCCCGCTGTCCCAACCTTCCCTGTGCCAGCCCTGTGCTGTCTTTCCCTGTGGCAGAACAAGGCCCCCAGGGAGAAGAGCAAATAACAAAAGTGACTGTTTAATGCTTTTATACACAATATAAATTACACCGACCAGCATGGCAACAGCCATGGAACCAGTCCTGTCCTCCCCTCCCCCCCTTTCCCCAAACCCCAGCAGAGAAAGGCTCCTGCAGGCAGGAACAGGCAGGTGGGGTGTCTGGGGGCATGGCAGTGCTGCCGTGGGGGCAGGTGCCTGAGCTGCCGGTCGTGGCTTCATCCTGCTCTTCACCCTGCTCAGGCAGGACAGGGCTGCTGGAGGCCCTGGCGTAAGGCAGCCCTGAGCCCCTGCAGAGTCTCCTGCCCGTCTTCCCTCCCCCAGGGAGGGCAGGGGCCGAGGCACCCCAGGCCTGCCACTGGGCTAAGTGCTGTCTCAAGGCAGGGCCGTGCCCACGGCCGGGGGGGCCAGGAGGGCTTTGGCATTGCGCGGGTTCACCCAGCTCTCGGCCGTGTGGCCGTGGATCTTCTGGTGGCGCTTGTAGTTGTCCCAGTGGCCAGTGGTGTAGGAGCAGTCCCGGCACTGGAAGGGCTTCTCGCCTGTGTGCCGCAGCATATGCCGCTTCAGGTTCATGCTCTGGTTGCAGCTGTAGCTGCAGAGGCTGCACTGGAAGGGCTTGTCGCCTGAGTGGATGCGCCCATGACGCTTGAGGTTGGCCAGGTTGCCACAGGCGTAGTCGCAGAGCTGGCACTTGTAGGGCTTCTCGCCCGTGTGCACGCGCTGGTGCCGCTTCAGGTTGTCCAGGTGGGCAGAGGCGTAGGGGCAGAGCGGGCAGGCAAAGGGCTTCTCCCCGCTGTGCGTCTTCATGTGCCGTGCCAAGTGGTTGGGGTAGTGGGTGACAAAGGGGCAGAGGCTGCAGGCGAAGCCCTTGTCCCCAGCGCCCTTGCGGGGGCTGGCACCCGGCTCGGTGCCCAGCACTGCCAGGCTGCAGCGCCCGCAGACCTGCTCAGCCAGGCCCTCGTCCTGCGCGAACCCATCGTCCAGCACCAGCCCGCACATGCGGCACGTGAAGGGGAAGAGCAGCTCGGGCAGCGCGGCCGCCTCCTCGCCCCGCAGCCGCGCACAGCCGGGCAGGAAGGGGCCGCTGCCGCTGCCCACGTGCAGGCTCAGCTCCGGCAGCAGCGGCTCTGTGGGACAGACAGACAGGGCTGTGAGCAGGGTGGCACAGCACCAGTGGGGATTGGCTCTGTGAGGAGCCCTGGTGCCCCAGTGAGCCTGGCAGTACATGGCATTGGGTCAACGGCAGGACCAGTGCCCTGCCCTGGCCCCAGAGCCCTCCCAGCTGCTCTCCCCCCATCCCCACACCCCTCCACCTTTACCTGGGTCCTTGTCCCGCCGGTGCGGTCCGTCACTCTCGGGCAGGCGGTGGCTGAGCATGTGCCGCTTCAGGTTGCGGCTCTGGCTGCAGCGGTAGTCACAGGCAGCGCACTGGAAGGGCTTGTCCTGGCTGTGGACCCGCTCGTGGCGTTTGAGGTTGCCCAGGCTGCTGCAGGCAAAGCTGCAGCACGTGCAGCGGTACGGCTTCTCCCCGGTGTGCGTGCGCAGGTGCCGCGTCAGGTTCACCAGCTGGGCGGAGGCGTAGGCACACTGCGGGCAGGCGAAGGGCTTCTCCCCGTTGTGTGTCTTCATGTGGCGCTTGAGGTGGCTGGAGTAGTGGGAGGCGAAGGGGCAGAGCTGGCAGGAGTAGACGATGCGCTGGCTGCGGCTGCCCTCGGCGCCGGCGCACTGCAGGCAGCTCTGCCCCAGGCTGGCAGCCAGCTGCAGCCCACACTGGCGGCAGGGCAGGGCGGCGGGGCCGGGCTCGCCCCCCTCCTCGGGGTCGCTCTCCACACTCAGCTGCTGGTACCCGGAGGAGCAGTCGTCGTCACTCAGGGTGTACGCTGGGATGGCGATCTTCCCCACCAGCGTGTCTGCTGAGAACAGCGTGGGGATAGGGCACTGTCAGCCAGGCTGGCCTGGGAAAAGCCCCTCCACCTGTGCCCTCGGTCCCAGAAGGGTCTGGTCAGCTGTACCTACCCTGTGGCACCCAGAGGAAGCCAACCACACTGTGCACTGCAGTGAGAAGCCCCATGGCCACAGCCTGCCCCAACACCCTGCTGAGGACTTGTCCTGGGCACCTCAGGAAACCCTGACACTTCTGCATGGCTGGCCAAGACCCTGGCACCAGAAAGGGCAAGGGGGTAGTGGTGGATCAGGCACCCACTGGCACTGCTGGGCCTGGCAGTTGGGAAGGTGGCGGGTGCAGGCCAGCCCAGGCAGGAGAGCTGGGTGCCCATAAAGCTGCTCTGTCCCCCCTCCCTGTGCCACTGCCCCAGCCCCATGGTCAGCAGCTGGTCACACTCCCATGGCTGACACCACGGGGCTCCAACACCAGCCCCCTCCATCCTGCAAGCAGTGCCTTCCCCAGCCCCACACAGCACTGCTGTCCCATGGCAGTGGGGGGAAAGGCTGTGCCAGGCTTTCAGGGGGCACTTCCCAACTGGGCACAGACATCCTCCTGCAGCCCCTGTGCCCGAGATGTACCCCCAGGCTGGTGCTCAGGGCTGGAGGGGCAGGAACATGCAGCCCAAGCCTCACCACTACCAGCCACAAGCCGTGTCCTGCTGACCCTGTCCTGTTCCTGACCTGCGGCCCCGGGGCCTGTCAAACCCAGCAGCTGCCTGTGACCTGGAAAGCGGCCTGGGCCGTCCCCTCGCTGCTGCCCACCCTGTTGGGTCAAGCTCCCAGAGCCCCAGGCAGGCAGAGGGATCAGGCTGACCCATGCTGTGGAATGGGGTGGCCCCTCCAGCCTCTGGGACCCTTCCACAAGCACTGCCTGGAGCACAGACCCCAAAACAGGGCATCCTGCCAGGGAACCCTTGGCCCTACCTCAAGCTCTTTGCCAAGGGCTCCCCTGTCCCTTCAGCTCAGCCCCACACCAAGGGGCCCCCTGCCACCTCAGCCCAGCAGTGCCACAGCATCCCTGGAGCACCTTCCCAGGCAGTCGTGTCAGTGCTGCCCAGGTGGGACAGTCTGTCCATCCTGCGGGCCCCGAGGTCCCGGTCCTGCTCCCGGCTGGGACTGAGTGGGAGGACAGGGATTCCCAGCAGCTTTGGGCCCTGGCAACACCCACCTCTAGAGCAGCCGAGCGGCTGTCCCAGCACAGGGAAGCACAGCCACATCTGCCAGGTAGCTGGGACTGAGCCCCAGCAGTGGTGCTGGAGCTCAGCACGGCCACCGAGCACAGGGAGCAGGGCTCAGCCCTCGGGGCAGCGACGGGACAGCCGCGGGGCCAGGCAGGCCGTGCCCCCTTCTCTCGCCGTTCTGTCCCCATGTCGCTCACTGCCAGGGGCAAGGAGTGAGGCTCCTGCCGGTCCCTGTGAGGCAGCTCCATGGAGCTGAGCAGCACTCACTCCTCCGGCTGCCTCGGCCGGGACTGCCTCGAGCCCAGGGCACCGGGCCGGGGTTCTCGGGGCTGGGGGCGCCCCGCGCCCCACACAGTGGTGAGGGGGGCGGCAGGGCAGGACGCTGCGGCCGGGCCCGGCTCCCGGGTGGGCAGCAGAGCCGAGCCCGGAGCCGGGCGGGGGGTGGATCTGGAAGGAGCCCGGCCCCAGAGCGGCCGCGAGGACACGCCATGCCCGGGACCCTTTCCGGCAGGGAGCGCTCGGGGGTCGGTGCCGGGCGGGCAGAGCCCACCCGGGGGCCGGGCCTCGTCCCGCGGTAGAGGAAGCGAGGCCGGGAGTCCGCAGCGGGCGGGCCCCCGCCAGGGCGGGCGCTGCCGGATGCGCCGAGCGCGGGGCCGGTGCGGCCGGGCCGCATCCCCGCCGGTGGCGCTGCCGGAGCGGGGCCGCGTCTCCGCGGGGGCCGCACGCACCTGGCGGTCCCTTCTCGGAGGCCGGGCCACGGCCCAGCAGCAGGTCCCCGGACAGCACCAGCGCCGCTCCCGCCGTCTCCTCGGTGCCGTCCTCGGCGTCCGCTGCAGCGCCCCGAACGCCGCGGGTCCCCGCCGGGCCGCCGCCGCCGCCCCCCGGGCCCGCCGCGCACTCACCCTTCACCGGCTGCGGGTGGCTCTGCTTCCGCCGGGGCATCGTGGCGGGCCCCGGCGCCGGCCCGGCCCCGCCGCCCGCCCGCCCGCGGCCCGCCAGCCGCCCCCGCCAGCCCGGGGCGGCCGCCGCCGCCCCGCCTCGACCGGACACTTCCGCTTCCGCTTCCCCGGGCGCGCGGGGCGGAGCCGGAAGCGGCCGCGCGACCCGGAAGTCGGGCGTGCGCGTGCGCGGGGCCGCCACCACCCCCCGTCCCCGTCCGTCCCGGCGGCCGCGGCATGAGCGGCACCAGCACCGGCACCGGCACCGCACCGCACCGCGCCGGGCCGGCCGGGCCGCGGGACAGCCGGGCGGGGCCCGGGGGGGCGGGGATCGGGGCGGGGCGGGACAGCGGCGGCTCCGCCCCTTCCGGGCGGCGGGAGGCGGGGGCGCCTCCGGGCCCGGGTCGGGCGGTGACGGTCTCTGTGCTCCTCCGGGGGCGGCTGCGGCCCCCCCCCCTTGCTGGCCGCCGAGCGCAGAGCCCGGTGAGTCCCGTGCCAGTGTCCCCGTGAGGTCAGAGCGGCTCACCCGGCGCTTTGTATTCCGCCCCGTGCGGCGAAGGGCCGCTGGTTGCCCGGTGCCGCCGTGCTCCGAACGGCGCCGGAGGCTCAGCCCGGCCGCGCCCCGGGGCTGTGCCCGGTCCGCGCCCGCAGCACTGGCCCCGGCTGTGTGAGCCGCGGCTCGGCCCCCTCACGGACCGCTGGGGCCCTTTGCAGGTCCCGGGGGCGCTGGATGTGTCGGTCCGTGGCCGTCCCGGGGGAGCCGTGGCCGTGCCGTGCCGCCAGCTATGATTCCCCGCTGACAGGTACAGCCTCGGCCGGCCTCCCGCTCTCCTCCACCTCTTAACTCCCGTTTCAGCCCGGTTTCCCCGACCTCTGCTCTCGCCCGGTCCCCGGGCAGCGCTGTATCCCCTGGGGAGAGGTGGAGCAGCCCCGCACTCGGGCCAGCGGGGCGGGTGTGATCGGACTCCTTGGTCTCCCCCGAGGTCACTGCTGGTCCCTCCCTCTTCCCGTGCCGGCGCTTCCGCCTCTGCCTGAGCTGCCGCGGGCACGCTGAGGAGGCAGTGGGACGCAGCGATGCTGCCCAGGTGGGGAGGGCAGGGGGCAGCTTTGGGGTGTAGAGGAGGAAGGAGCGAGGGGAGGGACGGGCACTGCTGGCGGAGGGGTTGTGGTGTGGCCATGGACTCCGAGCTCTAAGTAAGGGAAAACAGGCTCGGCTCCCTGCTGGAATCACCTGGTTCCTGGTCATTGAACTGGGTCTTGGGTCCCTTGACACTCCAGGGGAAAGTCGGTGCTTCAGTCGTGTCTCACGCTGGGGAAGAGCCCCGGGACGGGAAGGGGTGTGTGTCACACTGCCCGTGCAGGAGCTGGCTGTCACAGTGGCACTGCTGTCTTCCCCACCCCGTGGATTTGGGAGTCCTGTGCCTCTGGACTTTGGTGCTGAGCTGAAGGAGACAGGATGGGGCAGGACAGGCCCGGGGCCCATCGGCAGGGCACTGTCGGGGTCCCGTGGGTGGTGAGGGCCCGTTCCCAGGGCCTCGCCCTCAGGAGCGGTTCCTCCGCAGGCTGAGCGGCATCGACTGCAGCCGAGGATGGTTCCGCCGCTACCTATGGGGAGGCCCAAGTAGGAGCCGGGCCATGGGGGCCACGCCGGGGCCGGCACCTCCCCGCTGCCCTCCATAGCCCGACAGCAGCCGGCGGCCACTCTGAGGACCACCATGGAGCAGCCCCCGCGTGTGCCCGGGCCCCGCTGGCTCCTGGGCTGCTTCGGGCGGAAGCCACAGGCCGTGCGGGGGGAGACGCTGCCGGAGCCGCTGCCGGAGCCGCTGCCGGAGCCGCTGCCGGAGCCAGAGCCGGAGGAAGCTGAGGAGACGCGCGTGGCGCTGCCCCCGGGCGAGGGCCGGGTGCTGGAGGAGTGTCCTCTGTGCCTGCTGCCCCAGCCCCCCGAGGCCTTTCCCACGCTGGCCTGCTGCGCCCACCGCTCGTGCCGGGCCTGCCTGGAGCAGTACCTGCGCCTGGCCGTCAGCGAGAGCCGCGTGCTGGTGTCGTGCCCGCACTGCCCCGCCGCGCTCCCCACCGCCGACGTGCGCCGGCTGCTGCCCGAGCCCGCCCTCCGCGACAAGTACGAGGAGTTCCTGCTGCGGCGGCTGCTGGTGGCCGACCCCGGCACCCGGTGGTGCCCCGCGCCCGACTGCAGGTATCGCCGGGCCCGGCGGGGGGCGGCAGCAGAGGGGCGGCGTGGGCCCGCGGCATCGGCGTCCCGTGAGCCCTTCCCAGGCTCCGTCACTCGGTCCCGCGTGGGGCTGGGCTGCGCAGGGATGTGTCCGGTCCCTGTCCGGCCCCAGAGCCCGTCTGCCAGGGCTGGTGCCCTTGGCTGCGTCGGGCAGCTCGTGAACCGCAGGGCTGCGGGTGCTGGACCGGGCGGGCTGCGCCGCAGTCCGTGCTGCTGAGGGCCCTGGTGAGCCCCTGAGCCGGGGCTACGGCTCCAGCTCAGCACGGGGCTGGGACCTGCCGCTGCCCAGCCTGGCTGTGCCAGCTCTGACTGCCTTCTCCCCACAGCTATGCTGTCCTCGCCCACGGCTGTGCCGAGTGTCCCCGCCTCACCTGTGGGCGTGAGGGCTGTGGCACCGAGTTCTGCTACCACTGCCGGCAGCCCTGGCACCCCGATGGCCCCTGTGTGCCAGCACCACTGGCCCCTGGCCTGGCCACCCCCACAGCACAGCCAGCCCGACCTGAGGACTCAGCCCACGGTGAGGCCCTGGCACAGGATGGGAGCAGCAGGGCTGGGGTGTGGCACAGTGGGGTGCCTCTGTGCCTCCTGCCTGCAGGTCTGCTGGAGCCGGGGCTGCTGGCTGCCTCAGGCTTGTAGCCCTTGTGCCAGTCGGGCTGGGGTGTGGCACTCTGGCACTTGTGGGACTTGGGGAGCCTGGGACAGGGTGTGTCCCATCCTGCTCCCCCATCCTGTCTCATCTCCCCCCCAGCTGAGGCTGAGGACATCAAGCTCTGTCCGCGCTGCAGCGCCTTCATCATGAAGATCAACGACGGGAGCTGCAACCGCATGAACTGCACGGTCTGCGGGTGCCTCTTCTGCTGGCTCTGCCTGCGGGAGATCTCCGACGTGCACTTCCTGAGGTCAGCGTGGGGCCATGGGGGCTGGCCCAGGTGGGGGCCCTGACAGGAGCTTGGGGGCTGGGATGGGGGCAGCCAGGCCTGGGCCCAGGTTTGGGGCTGGCTGGGGGGAGCAGCGTGGTCTGTGCCACTCGGTCTGGCAGGGCTGGGGCCAGCTGTTGGCATTCCCAGGAGGCAGCTGGAGCTCAGGGTTGGGGGAACCTGGCTGTCTGCTCCCCGATGGGCCCATGGGTGTCCCCCAGCACAGGGTTGGGCTGTGCTGGTCTCTGCCTTGGCCCAGCCCTGCTCTGTCCCCACAGCCCCTCTGGCTGTACTTTCTGGGGGAAGAGGCGGTGGTCGCGGACCCGGAGGATCCTGTGGCAGCTGGGCATGGTGCTGGGTGCACCCATGGTCATCTCCCTCGTCGCGGGCGTTGCTGTCCCTGTCATTACCATTGGGATCCCCATCTACATGGGTAGGAAGGTACTGGCAGGTCTAGGAGTCCCTGTGGCCCTGCTCCCTGCTGAGCCTGGCAGCCCATGGCCCCTGGCCAGGACAGACCTGCAGTGCTCCCCACTGCCCATAGCACATCTCTGACTGCCCTCAGCATGTCCCTGTGCCACCCCTGAGTGCCCACAGCACATCCCTGTGCCACCCCTGACCCCCCTCAGCATGTCCCTGTGCCACCCCTGACTGGCCACAACCCCTCCTTGCCAGGACCCTCCGCTTCCCCCCAGCACTCTCTGCCAGTGTGGGTGTGCTCAGCCTGGGGAGTGGGGTTCGGGGTGGGTGAAATGGAAAATAGGTCTGGGGTCCTGGGGGGGGTTTGCAAGGACACCTGAGCTGTGGTGGCAGGGCAGTCATGGCTGCCTGTCCCTGAGGAGAGGAAGGAGTGTCCAGGTGGCTGTGGTTGTGACTGGAGCTCTGCCAGGCTGGGAAGAGGCCATGAGGTCTTTGTAGAGCCCTTCACCTGTCTTCTTCTGCAGGTGCTGGGCCAGAGCCGGCGGAGCAGCCTGTCAGGGTGCCAGCAGTGCCTCTCTGTCACCAGCAGCGTCCTTCTCTCTCTCTTTGTGTCCCCCATCATAACAGCCATCACCGTGGGTGAGTGCAGGCTGGGGCCGAGGGCACTGCCCTGCGCTGGGCAGTGGCCTCAGGGGAGGTCTGGGACCACGGGCACTGGGGCAGTGACTACCTGTCCACCCACAGGTGTTGGTGTGCCCCTGATGCTCACCTACGTGTACGGGACCGTGGTGTTGTCGCTGTGCCGGAGCCGCTGGGGCTGTGGGGGTGGCCGCACACCTGGAGACATTGGTGTGGTAGAGCTGGAGAACCTGGCCAAGCGTGAGTCCCATGCCTGGCCCTGGCCTGTGCCCTCCCTGCTCTGGCAGGGAGCGGTCCTTGGGAACAGGGTGCTCAGCGCTGTCTTCCTCCCGCAGTGAATGAGCTGTGGTCGGTGCTGCCCAGCCCAAACCCCAGCCCCAGGCCAGGTGAGGACGGAGCCCCAGACCCCACGGCCTCCCTCCCCAGCAGCAGCCGCAGCCAGCGCCCCGGGCTGGCATGGGACAGCCAGTCGGCCAGCACGGTGGCACTGGCAGGGAGCATGCTGAGCGAGGGCCAGGACACCTCCGACAGGTGAGCAGAGCAGGGTGGCCGTGCTGGGGGCTGACACATCCCTTGGGAACAGCCGCCCTCACGCCCGCCGTGCCGCACAGGGACAGGTGATGTCCCCCTCCGGGCTGCTGCCCTCAGGCTGGTGTCTGTCCACAGGGAAGGCGTCACCATCGAGGTGGAGGTGTCGGTCGAAGCGGTGCCGCATCCTGCCCGGCAGCAGAGCCTGAGCAGCGCCCTGTCTGGGCAGAGTCTCTCTGGGGACTCCCTGGGAGCCACCAGTGACAGGGGTAGTTCTGTGGGTGTCCCCGTGGAGTGAGAGGGCTGAGGGGAAGAGCCTTGATCCACACACAAGCCCAATGCCCTCTTGTGGCAGAGCCAGTCCCCCTCCGCAGGCACTCCCAGCCCCAAGAGCTGGGTCCTGGGTGGATGTGGGCCACATCCTGCACTGCTGCGCCAGCCCCAACCGCCCCCTCCCCAGAGGCACCACTGGGAAATAAAGCTGCTTTCCAAGAGTCCATCTGTCTCCTGTGGCACAGTGGGGTAATGCCACAGGCTGTGGGTGGGGACCCTGGGCCACATGGGGTGCACAGTCTCAGGCAGTGGGGTCCTGCCTCTGGCCACTCTGACTCCACTGCAGCATCCTGGGGGGAAAAAGCTGCTTCTGGACATTTTACTGCTCAAAGTTGGGCAGTCACAGAATGACAGAAGGGTTTGGGTTGGAAGGGACCTTAAAGCTCATCTCTGCCCTCCTGCCATGGGCAGTGACACCTTCCACTATCCCAGGTTTCTCCAAGCCCTGTCCAACCTGGCCTTGGACACTTCCAGGGATGGGGCAGCCACAGCTTCTCTGGGCAAACTGCCAATGGCCTCACCATCCTCACAGGGAACAATTTCTTCCCAACATCCCATTTAATCTTGCCCTCTGTGGTGGGTCCTGTGCCACATCAAAGGCCCCTAGAGCTGCAGGTGTTTGCATTAACCTGCTGCAGCTGCTCAGGGAACAGACTCTAGAGTTCTGCTACGGCTGCCTGGCAGATTCTGTCATGGCAGCTCACATGGGGGAGCTCACATGGAGGAGCATAGGATCCCAGGAGCTGTGCAGGGAGAGCACTTAGGATGGTCAGAACCCCTGAGGACCCCTGAGGACCAGGGGAGCAGCGGGAGACTCCCCAGCAGCAACAGGCTGCTGCCCACAGGGCTTGTGGCTCCCTGTGGGATCCCAGGGCAGGTGGGACTGCTCTGGGCTGTGCAGGAAGGAGGGACTGGGAGGAAGAGCAAGTGTAGGAAACAGACAGCAAGGGGCCAGTTGCATGTAAAAGAAAAGAAGAAATAACAGCTCACCACAGATGCTCTTCTTTTCCAGCAGTTTGCCGAGTCTGTGGCTCTTTCTGCTGCACAGGGAGAGCCCACCTTTCCATCAGTGTTTTACAGCCCAGGGACTTCACTCCTGCAGGAGCAGCCACAGGTATCAACACACCTTGTACAAACTGTGCATCAAGGAGGTGCCCCTTGCTGCACCTTGTCAGAAGGTGCAGCTCAATGGGTGCTGCCTGCTGAGGGCAGGTGAGCTCAGGAGAGTGACTTGTGCCTCCATTCCTTCAGCAGACACAGACTGTCTCCAGAGACTCGTATCTGCTCTGAGAATCCTTAGCAGAGCCATCCTGGGGGAACTGGGAGCCACAGGCCAAAGCCCTGCAGTGCTCCAAGACCCCAGGGAAAAATGTCCTTCCCACCCTACCTTCCTCATGTCCCCTTCCAGGAAAGAACCAAGGACCAGGAGCATAGCTGTGTTTTCCAGTCTTTTAGTTTGAAAAAAGTATTGATTGAAAGTGTACAACCGAACACGGCGTGGCCTCAGCACCACCGCCAGATTGTTTCACAAATAAAAACAGAAAGGGCCTTAAATAATCGGGTGCAGATTAAAAAAACCTCAACAGTGAAAAAGTTCTTCCCTCCGAACAGAAATTCACAGGCACAGAAATGGCAACAACCACATGGAGACAATGGGGGGACATCCTCCTCCTCCTCCTCACCACGGGCTCTGCGCTGTGGCGCTCCCGGGCGCAGCTCCGTCCTCGCTCCCTCTTTGGAATGGTTATGGATGAACAGTGCGACATGCCCTCGCTAACCAGACCCGCCCCCCACCCCCCGACCAGGACACGGACAAACAAGGCCTCTACTAAGGCTAAAAAAAGGACAAGACTTGGAGTCTTGAGTTCAGCATGGGTAAGAAACGAGAGTCTGGTGAGCACAGCCCAGTCCCTGGGCAGGCCCCGCTACTCCAGCTTGGCCTTCTTGGTGCTGTCCCCGCCGTTCTCCTCCACTGGTGCCGCCACCTCCCCCAGTTTCCGCTTCCCACTCTCAGCAGGTGGGTGTGTGTTACGGGGTTTGAAGCTGATGATGATGCAGGTCATGTTATCGCAGCCGGTGCCGTCTCCTGAGGTGTCTGGAGCCAAGCACTGATCCAGCAGCTGGGGAGGGAAAGAGCAAGTCAGCAGAGAGCAGACACACACTGGGACCACTCCGAGGCACTGGGCCCATTCCAACACCTAACAGTGGCTCAGGTGCTGCCAGGCCAGGGCTATATGGGATGAGTTAAATGCTGTTCCCACCAGAGAAGAGACAGAAATGGCCTCAGCAGCACCAGGTTTCTGAATGTGGGCAGCAACTCCTTTGGCTGGACAGCACCCCCAAGGTCAGACACAGGCCTGGGTGCCCAGGGAACTGGGTCTCATTGCAGAGGTGTTTCTGCTCCTGCCCATCACAGCCCATGAGCTGCAGACCCCCTGAGTGCTGAATGAGCCCATGTGAGGGAGCAGGAGGGCAGAGCCAGGTCCTGAGCTGGGACACAGAAACGCTGTGCTGCTGCAGGGACAGCAGAACTCCGGACTTTACCTCTTCTACGATGGAGGAGAGCGGCCGCAGGACTCCGTTCTCATCCTTTTGAGTGATCTTGGACTGGATGAAATCCACCACTTCCTGGCTGCTCATCACATTCCTGCAGAGCAGAGAGGTCAGAAGAGCAGGCAAAGGGAACACACATGCCAGTGTCCAACAGGCCTTCCCCAGGCCCAGCTCCAGAGAAAGACCAGAGAAGCGATACCCCAGAGGCACAACAGCTCCCTCACCACTCACCAAATTCCATCGCAGGCAATGACCATGAAGTCGTGGTCATCGTTTATTGTCAGCACTTTGATGTCAGGCAAGGCAGAGATCATCTGCTCTTCTGGAGGGAGGTTCTTGTTCCGCTTGTAGAAGTGATCTCCTGTGGTGGGGAGGAGGATGTCTGGGCACGGGCAGTGCTGCCTGCCCTGCACAGGGAGCAGCACTGCCCCACAACAAGGCCCCAGTGGGATCCAGCCAGTGCTCCCATTGCCTGGGATCAAGCTGTGGGCCATGAGGCAGAGAACTACCGGAGGTTCCAAGTGTCAGCTCTGGCTAGTCCAGGGAAGAGGGGCCTTGGCCAGCTCAGCCTCTCTTCACCCCAAATCAAGTGCTACTTCCCCACCTCCTGGGGCAACACCAGGCCAACAGCACACAGCACCTGTCACCTCTGGAGAGGCTGTGGCTGCCCCAGCCTGAAAGTGTTCTGGACCAGGCTGGATGGCACTTGGAGCAACCCGGTCTAGTGCAAGGTGTCACTGCCCATGGCAGTGGGGGTTGGAACAAGATGATCTTTAAGTTCCATCCCATTCAAACCATTCCAGGGTTCATTCTATGATTCAAAGCCCACTTGAGAAAACTGATCCTCAGCTCCAGCTAGCAGTTTATCAGGAATCAGAGCCTACAAAGGGACTTCCAGGGCCACCACAAAATAGCAGGTGGGAATGTCAGTGTCTCCCTAGATAAACAAACTCCTTATCTCTATCCTAAAGATGTTTTTATCTCTTTACCCTAGGATAATGATTTCAATGGTTTGGGTCCTTCTGCAGAAGTACAGATGACCAAGTGGGTTCAAACTACCATGAAGCCAGGTCCCCAGGAAGCAACACACCAAGGTCCCTCAACAGACAGAGAGCAGGAAAAGTCCTGTTTCCAAAGGCAGCAGTCTGGTTTTGGGACAGTTTACATGAGCTGGTTTTTGATAACCCAGCTACTGGCACAACAGCCTGGGAGGTGCTAGGTGCTGCTTTCCACTGGTGTCCAACTGCTTCATGGCCATTTTCTCCAATTAGACTGAAATCTCCCATCAAATAAAGAACAGGCTCTACCCATCTGGTTAAAAACTGTTCTATAACCTCGGTGGCTGGCAGTGCTGGCAGCACAGCTGTCTGAGGCCAGGCCTGCCAGCATCCCCCCTCCTGCTCACCGATGGCCCTGGAGAGGTTGAGGCCGCCGTTCACCCTCCCGTCCATGGTGACCTTGCCGCCAGCGTTCTTTATCCGGGCCAGCTCCACCTCATCCTCTGGCTTGTGGTCGTACGACATGTCGACGGCCTTGCCGCCCTCCGACACGACGCAGCGCGAGTCCCCGGCGTTGGCCACGATCAGCTGCCTGCCCCGGATCAGCGCCACGACAGCGGTGGTCCCGCTGTCCGAGCCGGGCTGCAAGAGACACAGGATTTTGGTGAGATTCCCTTCTCTATGGCTCCACGTCGGGTCACTAAGGGAGCCAGCCTCAGCTGTGTCCCAGACCCCACGGTGCTGCATCTCACCCCATGAGCACACACAGAGTGATGGAGAAAGCCTAAGGGAGTGTGAAACACCAGGGAGGTGTTCACTGAGGGGCAGGATCAGGCAACAACTCCATTTCAGCTTCATGCAGCTCAGTGGGTCAGGATTGCCTGGTGTTCCACACGTCCTGCCATATCCCCTGCTCTAACATGCTGATTCCAGCCCCAGCCCAGCTCAAGCAGATTGTCACTGCAAGCCAGGCCATCTCCCCAAAGGGAGAAATTGCCACCTTGGAAGCCATGTCCCCTTTACATGACCTCTGGGTTCCTGGCCCACCTGCCTGCACTGCACGGGCTGAGGAGCGATGCTGTGCCCTGGAGCGGCAGTGCCGGTGGAGCCCGTCTGCTCCTGCCTCATGCTCTCCCTCCACACAAGCCCCACAGCATTTCCACATACCCCACACCCAGAAGCAGGATCAGCCTCGTCTACCTCAGCCTTCTGCCCAGATCCAGGCCCATCCCTCAGCCTTTGCACAAACCCAGGCTGTTGGCAGCTCCCTCACCCCCAGGAGAGCACGCAGGGTGTTCTATCCCCACCTGAGCAGGAACAACCCCTTGCTGAGTCTCCCAAGTGCCCCTGGCTCCACACTACGCTGCAGAACACAAGAACATGGTGTACCTCCTCTTTCCCCTCCATGCCTGGTAACAACATTTCCTCCTCTTCATCCTCATCCTCCTCTAATTCTTCAGTGTCATCTTCATCATCTTCATTCTCTGCTTCTTCACTGCTGTAACCATCCTCATCCTCACTGCACTCCTACAAGAAAGGAGTGATACCATAGGACTCACACAGGACGCTCAGTGCCCTCTCCCCTGCTGGTCCCTCCATCCTGGGGACTGATGGTCAGTTCCCCCAGAGGTGTGAGGTGACCTGGCACATGGCCCCCACACCTGATGGCTACAACCAGAGCAGCTGGTGTCACTACAGCAGTGGATGAAGGGATGGTGCATGCAGCAGGACCCAGGGCTGTTGGCTATGGCCGCTGCAGGATGAGAGTGTGTGTCCTTCAGGGTTAGCTCAACAATCCCAAACATTCCCATGGGATGGCCTCAAAGGATCAGTCTGAAACACCTGCTCCTAGGACACACCTAGGATGAGCCAGGGGCTTTTCTCAAGTACCACCGTAAGCAATGCATTCTGCCCAGCCAGAAGGCCACTCTGTCCCAGTGCTGTTTCCTACCTCACTGTCTTCCTCCTCTTCCTCAACCTCATCTGACTCATCCTCACTGTCCTCAAAAAATTTGGATTTGGTTGTGCGCTGGGGCTTTCCCGTGGAGGAGCAGGAGGGCCCGGCCTCCCCAGTAGAAGAGGTGACGGCCTCGTCACCTTTGCCTAGTTCAGGCTTCTGCAGAGCAGGGCTGTTGCCTCCAGCGCTGGCTTTGTCTGAGGTGGAGGAAATACCCGTGATTTCTTCATCTGGCTTCCCGTTCTTCCTCTCCTTGTGGTCAGGAAGCTCCCCTGGGTCAGCCTCTCCATTCATATTTGACTCCCCATCATGCTGCTTGCCTGTCCCCTCCGCAGTGTTATCCCCAGCTGCAGCTACAGACTTGGCTTTGAGGTTCTTGGTGCAGTTTTGTCCATAACGTGTGAGAAGCTCCTCAATGGTCATTGTGGCTTCTTCGTGCAGAAGAGCAGCTTCCTCATTATCCACTGCAAATGGAAAGGAGAGGAGGTGAGGACAGAGAGGCTCAGAGAGCAGGATACCCACCACGCTGGGTCCAGTGATGAGCTGCCCTGGCTAAGGCTGCTGCTGCAGAGTTCCAGCAGTGCTCCCCAGGCTCACTGTGAGCACACAGTCAGGCCCATGCCATCCCAGGTGCTGCAGGTGAGCAGGATGGAAATGGCAGGGCCACAGCTCTGACCACGGCACAGCCTGACAGTCCCCCCAGTGCCCCAGTCCCGGTGCTCCCTGGCTGACTGACAGCAGCACAGAGCCTTCACATCAGCTGCATGGCTGGGAGTGGAGCCTTGCTTTCCTGAGCACAGGCTCCTGGGGAGCTGTGGGCAAGCAGACTCGCCGCTTCCATGAGCAGGTTTGGTCAGTAATGCTGCAGGACAAGAAGAGAGTAGTTGCTCCATGGGCCTGAAACACTGCGGGGATCCCCACCAGCTGTCACCTGGACAGGTGCAACAGGTGGGAGCACAGCTTTGGGCAGTGACCACAGCATCTCCCAAGTGGGACTAGGCAGAAAATGGGATGACCTTCGCTAAACCATAAGCCAATGACCACCACTTCCCTACTGACATCCCCTTAGTTATAGTTTGCTTTGCTATTTAATCCCAAAAGGAAAACGCATACCCATATCCCAAATGCTCCTGAAAACACAGGACAAAAAGAAAGAAAACCCAACCAACCAAGCACCTACTTCATCCCTGTCAGCTGGAGAATGACGTTCAACAAACTAACTCAGTGTTTCCAGACCAACACAGTGCTCACAGTGACGGTACTGCCTTACATCTGCCTCAAGACTGGTCACAAGGTACTCAGCAAGAACAGCACAGAATTCCAACCCAGGAACCACCTCCTGTCTGGCTCTGGGGGCTGGCAACCACTTACTGGTGGAACACTTGCTTTTTTGTGAAGAGACCAGAATCTACTTCAGTCCTACCTGCTGCCACCAGCCTGGGAGAGCAGAGTGCTGCACACCACATTATTTCCCTTCCACAACTCAGCCCACTTCCCAGCTCAAGAGTTCCTGACACATCCTGCAACCCTGCACCCTGTGGAGGAAGGCCTATGGAAAATGGTGACAAGCTGGTTTGTTATCCATAGCATTAAGCTCCCAAATGGATCTGGACTCCCCCAGCACCAGCCCAAAGCCACGGACGGTGCTGAGGTGTGGCAGCTCAGCTCAGCCAAAACTTAACTGAGAAACTGGGACAGAAAACCTTGTGCCAAAGGAGACCTGGCCCTGCTGCTCTTGGTCCTTGTCCTGCAGCTGCAGCCTTGTATGCTCGGTGGCAGCTGACTTACTTACCATCATCTTCATCAGCAACTTTCTCTTTCTCATCTTCATCATCTTGGGGCCGCCCGGCCATTTGGGAGAGCTCCTTAATCACCTCCTCGGTGGTGAGCTTGGCATCAATGGCCAAGAATGCATCTTCCAGGGCCTGCATGTGAACAGACATGAGTGGGCAGCCTCCACTTCCCTACAGAAGCATTGCCATGCTGTGCAATCCTGTCTCTTCCAGCATGCACACCATACAGAATCACAGCATGGCTGCAGCTGGCGGGGACCTCTGGGATTCTCCTGATCCAACCCCCTGCTCCAGCAGGGACGCCCAGAGCTGATTGCCCAGGACCATATTCAGACACATTCTGAACAGCTCCAAGGATGGAGCCTCCATTGCCTCCCTGGACAACCTGCACAGAGGCACTGGGTACTGACACAAGGGCTTTCCCCCGCGTTGGTGCTCACTCATTCCAGGGCAGAATTGGCTCTTTACCTTTTGCAATTTGCCTTCCTTGTAGGCCTTCTGATCTTTGATGATCTCAGGGAGGTACTTGGCGCAGTACAGGGCAACTTCTTCTCCTGAAAAAGAGCAGAAACCATTTAAAGAGGCTGATCCTCCCACATACAGCATGCTCTTGAGCAACTGAACTCTGGAAGCAAATCCCAGGACACAAACCAGAGCTGCCCCAGACACAGAATGGTGACACAGCAGTTGACTCTGGGGGTCCCACTCACACCTTCCCAGGGGCAGCACCCCAGAGCAGCAGGATTTGCTTATGGCCCTGGCAAACCTCAGTGAGCTCCAAACCACCAGGTGTGGTCAATGCTGTGAGCTTCCCAAGAGCGAGCTGAGGCCCAATGTGATATTCAGACTGACTCTTTAGGCCCAGGCTAGCTGGACACCTCTATTTTCACATGTCAGTGCAAGCAGAAGAAAAGGGAAGCTTTTGATCAACGTAGGCTCTCTCAGATCATTATCAACATGCAATGAGCATATAAAAAGTGCTCTGTGCTCTAGTGTGTGTTCCACACCAACAGCAATGGGATCCCACAGCTTGAGATGAGCCTTTCAGAAGGTGGGGCAGCCACCCTGGTACAGGAAGGGGTGTGTGTGTGTGTGTTCACGGCACAACAAACAGCAGCTGGCAGGAGCACCATGCCAAGAGCACAAGGGATAAACTGGGACTGAGGAACAACAACTCAAGCCAAGTGCCCACCCTAGAGCAGCTGAGAGATTTTTAAAAGCCAGAATTCCCTCTACAGCTCAGTAATTAATGGTGTCACATACAGAACAGGGCATGGAGGCATTTGTTGTGATCACGGAGGTGCTATTAAGAGAGGAGAAAGAGTAAACAGTGAGGGATCATGAATTTCTCTATTTTATCTTGAACGGGGACCAGAAAGAGTAGTGTAAGAGATCAGACTAGTCATTGAGGTTTTTATATGAGGCAAAGAACGATGTAGGACACAGGAACCTGGCTCACATTCATGAGAAACAAAAGTTAAGAGCTAGAAACTGAGAAACAAATGAAATGACAGCACAGGAGGGAGGGGAGCGGGGCAGGCTGCAGGTCCTGCCACAGGGTCCAGGGGCATCCTTGAGGCTGTGCTGGACCAGCCGTTCCCTGTCACAAGGCAAAGAAGCAGCAGTGTGGGTAGCTGGACACAGCACTCCAGAGCCTCCCTGCACCTGGGGCTTCCCTGGGGACGTGGGTACAGCCAGAGCCACGTGTGCTCCTTTCCTTCGGGCTACAGGACAGTTTTCACACAGATGGTTTTCCACAGGATGGACCAGCCGCTGCATATCCCAGCTCCCTGCCCTTCTCCCAGCCCAACAGAGGCTGTGCAGGCAGCTGGGCACGATGAGAAGTTATGCAGGCAGGAGCAAGGCTCTGTGAAGGAACGGGGAGCAGGGGAGTTGAGGGCAAAGCAGCAGCAGCCATCAGCTCAGCAAAGGGAGAGGCAGAGGGAACACAGTGGGAACTGGAGGCGCGGGGAGATTTGGGAGAAAGAAAGAAACAGCAGACAAGGGACTTTTCCAGTGTGCCTGCGGAAAAGGGATCAAGTGGCCATTGACAGAGAACAGAAACAGCAAACGGCTGCTGCTACACAGCACTGCAAAGCATTCCATGGTACAGACCCAGGGAACAGAGAGACTGGATTTGACCTGGGAACACTGGAAAGGATCTATGACAAGGGCCTGGAGCGACAGGACAAGGGTGAATGGCTTCACACTGACAGAGGGGAGGGCTAAATGGGATATCAGGAAGAAAGTCTTGCCTGTGAGGGTGGTGAGGCCCTGGCCATTCTGTGTTTCCTCCACAAAAACCTTTTGGAGGAAGGTAAATAATTGTTAATTGTCTCCATGAGACGAGACCTGAAGGACAGCGATGGCCTCAGTGCAGAGCCCAAATGCCAGATTAGGCCCAAGGTCAGTGTTTGAATAACAGATCTCCCAGGCAAACACCACTAATCACTGCAGAGCTCAGCAACAGGCAGGAGCCAACAGCAGCCTTTAGCAGGTACAGCACAAAAAAGATCACAGCGTGGGTCAGGTAAACTGATAGCAGGAACAGCTGAACCACTGTGGTGACCTGCAGCTGCTAACAGCTATAAATCCCCTCTAACATGCTCTGCTCAATCCGTTATTAGCTCCAACCCTTCCAGACCCACAGTGGGTGCCAAGAAAGGACTCTCATGGTTTAACCCCAGATGGCTACTAAGCACTGCCCGGCCACTTGCCCACCCACCTCTCCTCGTGGTACAGCAGAGAGGATTGGAAGGGCAAAAGGAAGGAAACCCTTGAGTTCAGAGGACATTAAAACAGTAATAATAGCAATAATTATGTAAAAAAATAGCAAAATGGAAAATAGCAAAGAGAGAGAAATAAAGCCCAAGACAGACAAGCAATGCAAAGATAAGTGTCAACGAAGACAGTTATTAAAAGGAAGAGCTAAAAGGCTAAAGCACAAGAGACAGTGACAGAGAATGATCAGAAACCCCACTGAAGGGGCAGAGTGCCCAAATATCATTCTCCAGGATCTGGAGGGAAGAGAGGCCAGGGCACATAAAAAGGAAGCAGAGGAAGGCAAAAAAACCAACCCAGCAGCATCTTTCAAACACTAGAAGGCTTGCCCACAGTGGGGAAACGTAAGAGAAAAACTGATGAGTGAAATGGAAAAAGTTAATAGGAAAAAACCCCTCAAACCCACCCTTTTTTCAAATAACAGAATAATAAAAACTTTTCCCAACCCATTCGAAGCAGGAAGCTTACTGGAGAGTTTCATGCTGAGAGATAAGCAAGGTATATAAGAGAAGCTAAATTCAGTTTTTGCACTGGCAGCTAATAAAGCTTAGCAAGGTTCCCACCCAAAAAACTAACTCTTACATGGGAGAGACCTGAGAAATTGTTTCAAACTAAATAACTAATGCATCAATAAACTCATACAATAGTAGAGATGGGCAAAAGCTGTTCTTCAGAGTCAGGTTCAACTATATCCATATCTTTCCTGATAAGGTTTGTCCAGGAAGAGCTGTAGAGATTCAACCACTAGAAACCTAAAATATGAGTTAGAAAGCCATGCCTGTGCTTTGCCATTCCATGCCTTTCCCCAATGTCTATCTTGAATCTTTCCTGCTGTATTTAAAATCCCCAAGCACACCACTTCATGTCCTACACTAACGGGAATGTCACGAGTGTCCACAGTCTCTCTAAAACCCCACACGTGGAATAGACCTTCTTGGCAGCTGAAAAAACAACATACTGAGCTCAGAGGAGAACAGATGGTTTGATGCTATTCATTCTTGACCTGTTTATGGTAGATGCTCCTTATCTTTATTTTTGACTGACATACACAGACGGTTTCTGAGTTGCTGCACTGAGGTGAGTAGCTGCTGAATCCCCACATCCTGTTTCCTTGTCACTCTCTGCCTCTCAGCACCAACCCATCATCCCCATGCTCTCAAACATACTCTCCAGGATATCAGTGACTGCTCCACTCGAATCTCTGCACACTCTAAGATGAAGTTCAGGAGGAAAATACTTTAAGAGCATTAAATACATTCTACAGCTGAGACAGCATCTTTGGAAGAGCTACTCGCCAGCAGCCTACTCAGGCTGAGCTTTTTAGTACAGACTATTGCAAAAAAGGGTCTTAAGCTGTAATTTGCAAATTGGCAATTTAGGATATCTCAGGTCTAAAGGCAAGTGGAAATAATGAACAACACTGTGTAAGCTTCCACTGAAATCTGCTTCGTATCAGAGAAAGGAGAAGCAGACAGACCACACCAAAAATACACTGAAGTGCCTCAGAGTAGGGGAACTGGGCTCACAACACTCCAGAGCAGCAGAGCTGGCACGGGAACACAGCAAACAGGACAAACTGTCCACACGGCTTTTAAATGCTCAGGGACACATACACAGCAGGGATAGTCACTAACTGGCCAGTGTGTTTCAGAGCAAATGAGCAGGAGGAAACAGGCAGTTTAGTTCATCTACTCCACACAGATTTTCAAAAGGCTTTCAAATAAATCATCAAATGTTTCCCATACTGCTGCCATGGGAAAAGCAGCGAGGTTGGACAGGAGCAGTTTTCAGAATGGAGAAGGGCCACTGGGAGAGCTCCTTGAAGAGATATGTTGACCAACATCTACATAAATTATCAGGAAAAGAGGTTATTAAAACGTAATGGATCACTAAGGATGATCAAAACTAAAATAATTTGCAAGATTTAACAACAGGATCTTGTGCTTTTATGTGATATTGGCAGAAGGAATTCTGTAATATTAGCAAAAATATTTAATAGCAATATTCAGCTGGATGAGCAGAGACAAGCCCAGGGCTTCTCCAACTGAAAGAAAGGACCTGAAGTCCAAAATGGTAAAAGTGAAAAGTGCTTACGGAGTGATTACTCACTCATTCCTCATATGTGTCAGAGATATTGCAGTGAAATTATCAGGCAGCAGATTTAATCATATCTTTTTCAAATAATTCTATACAAAATGCACAATGCAAACAATCACCAAACATAGAAACCTGTTTAAAATGCAATTGAACAAATTCATGAAGAGACAGTTCATCGAGAAGGCTCCAACATGTGTGCAGGATGGAATGGCTGCAACTTCCAGCTCAGGGAACCCTTACCTGGGGAGTGGGAGCTGGGCAGGTACAGAAGGGAATGGATCTTCCTGTTCTGATTTCTACTTTTTCCTGTGGCAACCACCGGAACACACTGCCTACATTCAGACCTCTGATCCCATCTCAGGTGGTTTTTCTTACCACCTTTCCTTCTGTGACTCTCCTGTCCAGCTTATCCACCATGAAAACAGCCAAAGTCAGAGGATGGAATGCAAATCTGATTTCAATTTCAGATCAGCCCCTGACCTTCCTTCTAGGACCCCAAGAAACATTCAGAACCTCCACTGACGATCTCTATCAAAGAAAACGCTTCCCAGGAAGGAGCAGGATTCCTAGAGATGGATGGATGCCCCAGCAGGCACGGACAGAGGGGTCACACTGAAGGACAGGAGAGAGCACAGCGGGCACAGTTACCTCCGTGTCCATCGTAGACGGAGAACATGGCTGTTTCACTGTCCAGCTCGGGAATGCAGTTGTGGGCATCCTGAAAGAGAGAGCAAAGGTCTGGAATGACAAGGATTGCATTAGACCCACAGAAAATCATAGAACCACAGATTTGTTTGGGTTGGAAAAGCCCTCTGAGACCATTGAGTCCAACATTCCCTCAGCACTGCCAAGGCCACGGTGCTGTCACATGTCCCCAGGTGCCACATCCACATGGCTTTTAAATCCCTCCAGGAATGGAGACTCCACCACTGCCCTGGGCAGCCAGTGCCAGAGGCAGACAAACCCTTCCACGAAGAAATTGTTCCTATTATCTAACCTGACCCTCCCCTGGCACAGCTTGAGGCCACTCCCTCTCATTCTGTCCCTTGTTCCCTGGGAGCAGAGCCCGACCCCCCTTGGCTCCCCCCTCCTGTCAGGGGGTTGCAGAGAGTAAGAAGGTCCCCCCTGAGCCTCCTTTGCTCCAGGCTGAGCCCCCCCAGGAGCTCCTCATCAGGCTTGTGCTCCAGACCCTTCCCCAGCTCCGTTACCATCTCTGGACACTCTCCAGCACAAAAGGTCAACCACACATGAGCCACACACATTGCTTAGCTCTTCTCTCCACAAGGTCTCTCTGGAACAGCTGGCTTTGAGGGAGGCAGCACCCCGATTTTACAGTCAGAAGAAGTGCTTGACCTCTTCACCTACAGGTAAGCAATCCCACCTTGGCCATTTCAATGCAAAGCCCGGAACAGACAGACGGGCTGAACCTTTCCTACTAAGCCTTCCCCTTGCCCAGCTCATCTCATGACATTCCTTCAAGTCCAACCCTCACCTACCACCTCACCCCACCCCACACCCTCGTGTTCAGGAACCATCCTGTGATATGTTCAGCAACGTGATCTTTGCCATGGTTCATCACCTTAAACGTGCTACAGCTGCCCCCAAACACTGCTCACTCCAACATCTGGCTTAAATCTCTGAATGTGTCCATACTGCCCTCCATATCCCAAAAGCTACACACACGCTGAGCTACACTCAATCACAGCCCAGCAACCACTGAACTCTTCTCGTTTTTCACATAGGACTCCTTGGATAAGGGCTCCTCGCCCTCTAGAGTCCCACAGTCTTGTAAAAAGAGAACTCTATTCCCTGCTGGGTTCATGCAGCATTCCGTGCAATGGATTGCTGGCACCGGGATGAAAAGTGTCTGAACAGGCAAGTGACAATCTGAGTTCAAAATGAAAAAATTACTCTGAATGGTCATGCAGGAAATTTCCCCAGAGCTCACTGGAGAGAGCACAAAAGAAAACAAGGATAAACCGAGAACCAGCATTTTCATACTCACTTTTCTGAGCATCCACAGAAGTCAGTGAGACAGCAAACCCACAGCACAGTAAGTGGGATGAGTCCCAGGTGACCAAACAGTGGTGTAATTAAAGAAATGCAAATGCTGCTGGGTAGGAAACCCAGTACTGGCACCAAAAATGGTCTGTGCTGCCCTTGCTGAGCCCCCACTGCAGCCTGTCCTGCCCTGTCCCCTCACTGAGCCCTCCCTGCAGCCTGCCCTGCCCTGTCTCCTCACTGAGCCCCCCTTACAGCCTGCCCTGTCCCTCACTGACCCCCCCTTACAGCCTGCCC